TTTTATTTATTTCATTCCACTTCTCCTTCTACCTCTCATGTATTATTTTTGCTTTCTCCATCTCCTTTTTCCTCTCCTAAATATATCTTTGTCTCCAAAATGACTGCCAATATTTGTGGCAACATGTCATATAACTTTATGGCTGGATGTGATGAGTTTCAAGTCTGAAAGACAACTTTAATTTCGTCGCGTAAAGGCCACGCCAAAACCAGTCTTCGTTGGTTCCAGTGTTTTCCTTGTGGAACCATTGCGCGTTTATTAGTGTAGTGGTTGGTTTTACAGCGTTTCAAGACCCTGCCGACAAAAGAGGTGGAATTGAAAATTTTCCAGACATAAAAGTTACCCTTGAAGAAATAAATGACAGAACGTTTCACGATTAAATCGTCCAAACATGTTTTTGAATGATTTGCATAAAAAAGCGGTTTTATTACTCAAATGCAAATTTTTTGCCTATGAAGCAGCGAGTTGTTTGACTAATAGAAGTGGAATTCGGTGTTGCGTTTCTTCAAGATGCCTCAAAGCAACTTTCTCTAATTTGAATCATTGCCTCACGGTATTAGGAGTCTCAACTACCATTAAACACAAATTGGTCTTTCACCTAGAGGACAGGCAATACGAAAAAGTATTACACCACTTACACCAGCCTCGTCCCATCGTGACCATCTTAACAGCTAGAGGATGGTGGGGCTGTCTCATGGAAAACGCCAGCTTCTACCTGAAATCTCCCACTGATATAAATGCTTCTAGCCACGGAGTCACTTACAGAAGACTCGCTTAACTCTGTGTCATCATTTCAGCTAATAGGCATCAGCTTAATTATGGGATTGTCTGATGAGGCAGAGTATCACTGATTGTGTAATCTTCAGAAGGTGGTCTGTCACGAGCTTAAAATGGTCGGCTAACGAAGCTCTGAGGACCGAGTCTGAGAAAAGTTCTTGCGAGTTTCAAGAAGGTTTCGTCTAATATAGTGATTCCAAAAACCCCGGGCTATGACTCGACTGAGAATCGCAAGATTGTTCCAGAGAATTGCAGGAAAGTCTCCAAAATAAATAAATTATTACAAAATGTCTTACGTTCCGTCTGATTTTCAAGCTATTGAAACTGATTCTTTGTTCTTGTTTGAATTAGTGATCTATTGGAAGATGCACATAAATTTAATGTGACAAAAAAGAAATTTGTATGCAAGTGATCGGCCACTGAAACTACGGGCGAAGGCCCTTAAGCTTGCCAGGTCGAAAAAAAATGGTGTTTAGGATGGAAATTAACAAATTAATGGTTTGGAAATCACTGGTGCAAAATTAGAACATTCAGATTACAAATCAGCCGCGTGCGTTAATCCGCAAGGACAATATGATCATGTCTTTTCATCGTACTGCTACCCCTTGAACGGAGAATGGCATTTCCTATGCAAGACAAACGGACGATGCAGATAACAGTTGGTATTTAAAATTATGAAATTGGCAGAAGGTGAAAATTATTACGTCAGTGTATAAGAATGGAAAACTTCTGCTGAAAATGTCCATAATTGAAACAAATACAGTAAAATTTCCTTATAACATTGGTTTTAGGGAATCAGAGTGAACAACCAACGTTATCAGCAACGCGCGGCAGTTCGGAAAATAAAATTTTATACGCGAAAATATAAGCACGTGATTTTACAGATTTAATTGCAAAATACGATAAAAAATAACATTAAAATTAAAAGAAAATTAAAAAGTATTTAATCACCGTTTTATAAAATAGTCCGATATTGTTTTTGACGCGACGGCTGGTGGCGTTTTTTCGTTACGTAAAGCGATACATGATGATGATGACAGTCATTTTGTCAGTCACTTCACTAATGCCATCCCATACACTGCTTATTTTTTGAATCTGAAGCTCATTAGTTTCGCCATTCTCGCTGTTGTCTCGTCCGATAAATGGTCTTCCTTCGTTCTTTCGCTGTTCTGGACTTCCACTAACATTTTTTCATCGTCCTCATAAACAACGACGGGAGTTTCATCATCGCCACTAACCCAGTCCACGGATCATTTTCTTCCATTTTTTTCAAAAAGAACATTGGGAGATTCACCCATATCGAAATATGAGATAATATAGGAAATCACTTTCGAAAATCACATGTAACATTACATGGAATACTCCGAGTGTTGTTTAGAGGCAATAATTCATTCGATCACACCACCGCTGCCTACCACAGTAAATTCGAACCAAGCCGTTAGGTACAAAATAATTCGCGGTAAAATTTGAAACGAAGTTGATTCCAGAAACGTTAGAGTAAAACCCGAACCAGCTTGTTAAGAGAAATATAAATTGAATTTAAAATCGAAACAAATGTTGCTGACAGAAAAATAAATAGAATCACGGCGGGGAACTTTATTAGACTGGCGGTACATCCGAATCCTGTTAGTAGTGGGTTTCATTATAACGAGGGTTTACTGTACTTTTGTTTATAATTATAACTGATATTAATATTTCGTTAGTTTCTTAACCAAACGAATAGTTTTGCACGGATTACTTCTTCTACCGTCTGGATAAGAGATAAAATTTGATCTTAAACTTGGAATGAGAAAGTTTTCCAATGGTGGTGCAAATCTCCATCTCCAACGGATAGTGAATATCTCATATTTCCAAAGCCGTCCGTTGACGCCAATAAAGTTCTTCACGTCGTCGGTCATCTCAGTCTTGCTGCATTGCTTGGAAACGGTGATGTTGTTGAAAGCATATTAACGTCATTTAGGCGGCTTCTAACAACGTCGTTTGTGCCACATCCCCAATGTTTGTTGTTTGCAATGACTAACTGGTCAGGAAGAAACTACAAGAATGATTTGTATTGCTGCAAGAAAACGAATTTTTCAGGTTTGATAACGCTATTAACAAAGACAAATCCCCACCTCGAAAAATCGTATTACGGGATCTAGGCCATGGACGCCTCGCCTCCGCGCCGGCGACCAAAATCGAATTTGGGAAAGCCAACCTGGAACAGCCCTGCAGCCGGATAGGAATAACTCCTTCGAGCATAAAGTAGGACATGCATAGAATTAAACCCAACTTGCCGTCCAAGCGGCGGCATTACGTTAAGCATTACTGTCGTACTTTTGAGCTGTATTGACGAAGGCAGACATACATCTTCAAACTCTGCAATGGCATGAACATTAAAAATACAGCCACCGCCTAGAATTTTTCAACAGAACACGGTACCGTTCAATGTAACGTAAGTTTCGCTTGTAAAATATCTTGTAGAATTCAGAATGAACATCATGTTGAGTTCCGCAAGGTCAATGAATAACTTTCTCAGGTGTATTTGGAATCATTTCCATAGAATTTCGCGTGGTTGATTGATACCGAAAAGTCACTAATGGCCCGTGCCCTTGGTTTATTATTAAAGTTGTCTTTTGTGGCCTTTGACATTCTCAGTATTAGTCGCAAGGCTGTCGTGACATTCTTGATCTTATTACTGGCGATTATTCTAAGAACAGTCATTGAGTTATGTAATGAATTCAGAGGTGACCGAGTTGTCAAACTCGCTGTCAGTCACGTGCTAGCATTACCCAATGTTGCATGGCCATAGTTGCTGATATCCATGTCCTGGGTCATTCTGTCATTGTACCAACTGGGAAGGGATCAGGTGGCCCACTACTAAGTTCTTTGAATGCCCCATCCCTAGATGACATCGCAAAGATGCGAACAAGTAAAGATCTTGTGGAACAGCTGTAGTTGAAGTCCTCTCTGAACCGTCTCAAATAGTCGCACAGACTGAACTTGATGACGGATATGATATGTGACAAAACGAACTGCAATCAGGGGCGCCACTAGATTTGACTAAATTAGTTATGGTGGCCATTCTTAACAATATTTCATAACCTTCAAACCGTCCACTAATCGATCAATTGATGCCTTATCAGTTTCAGCACCGTAAGTTTTCAAACAGAGTTAACATGATATACAAAAGGTCGCAGTGCTAAAAGTGTAAATCTACTGTTTCTACTCTTCTTGGCCTCAAAGAGTCCTGAGAGGAAACAGTAGAATTGACATCCGGTAAATTTGTTGAAGCTAAGAGTATTCCGGGTTACATATGCATTGGAAACCCGTACAGAAATGCTACTGCAGTGAATAGCTACTACCGTACAGCAATGATTGCTCTAACCGTATGTGACTGTTCGGATGAGGTCTGCTGCGAATCAGCAAAGTGTACTAATAGAGAGTGATAAATCGGTATGTTTCAAGATGGCAAATGTTTTTTTTTATAGACCAGCAACGATAATTGGGAGGAAACATGTTTACGAATGTACATAACTAAGGCTAACTTTTGCTATCCCGCATTTCAGCGTTTGGGAGCTCTCGACGAACAAAAATGATACGCTCTCCGTTAAAGAGTTTCGGTAGAAATAAAGGTCCATCATGCATCCTATTCCAAAAAAATCAACGCTTAAAAATTAATAACCACTGCCTTAGTGACTGCGAGAAATCAAAGAAAAGTATTCGATTATTGACCTAAATGAAAAGATAATGTCATGGTAAATTGCGTCTTACATATACAATGTCAGGTCATTTTGAAAGAGGTTGACCTAGGATTACTTCGTAATTGTTTTGTGCATTCATTCATGGTGGATTGCCTTATAAATGAGGCAGGAAAGGTTGAAGAAAGTTGGGCTGCAAGTCTCTGTTCATTATCAGCTTCCGCTGTTTAATTCGTGCTGTTTGCAACATGGTTTCTGTCAGTCCCTAAGCATATGGA